AATGAGAAAATCAGGTTGCTAATAGAAGTCATCGACTTGCATCATATTAATGTGTTCCCGTTCTATAATTTGCTTAGCGGTGTGGCCCACGTTACGAATAGGTTACACAATTATGATAGCTTAATTATGAAACCTTTCATTGAGAACTAGCCTTTAAGTTAAGTTGTAATATATAGAAGCTAATCCTACCTACCTCAATATCTTATTGAGCCAGGCAAACTGGTACCTGTTCCACTCTTGCCCAGCCCCAACTTGGACGTGATATCCAGCTGTTCCATTAAAGAACTTATAAGTTGCCCTATCGCCAAGTCCGTCCCTAACAACCTCTGGCTGGCCAGCAAAGAACCCCTCGAACTCGGAATCGACGACAAGGACCGGTACCTTGATCTTGTCAACCACGTCTTTAATAGTGTACTGCTTAAGTGATTGGAGCCATAGATACGGGGAATGCTGTTTGAAGCACCATAATCCGTGTCCCAGACCCCAGCGCATCATTGTAGGCGCTTGTGGGCTATCCAAGAGCGGCAAGACAGCCTCGTCAAATTCCTCTTGCTTGCCCGCAGCAAAAAGCTCCTTCATGTCTGGGCCCAGCTGACTGGCATATCCCTCGTAGACATCCCACACGCCGCCATTGAGAATAAGAGCCTTGATCCGAGGCTCAAACGCAGCGGCTCGAGCAGCTAGATACCCACCCATTGAAATACCAACAAGGACCAGCCTGTCTTCATCTACGAAGCAGCCTTTGCGACTCAGCAATTCATCTATCACTGGCGTGAGAACCTTCTCCCAATTAGGGATGAAACCAATGTCATCATTGCGGCGAACAGTGGGCTGCCCTGGTCCTTCGTAGGTCATGACATTCCAGCCACGGGCCAGGGCTGGTACGACGAACGAGTGGTAAGAGTCTTCCTGGCTAGCATCGTATCCGTTGCCGATAACCAAGGTCGGCCGTTTGACGTTATCAGCTGCGGATGTGTACCAGATTGCTTCAATAGTGAAGTTGTCGACTGGGATCTGGATACGTTCGCCAGGAATGGGCAGTGCAGCAAGAGCTTTGTCGAACGCAGCACGTTGCTCGAGCCAGAAGCTGTTGATACGTGGGTCCGTCCAGTTTGCATGGTTGTAGAAATCGGCCTGACGGTAGTAGCTCGATGCAGCGAACCAGGCTTCCCGGACATTCAAAGGATCGTACGCATTGTCCGTATCCTCGGCTTGAGCTTTGGTGTATTCAGCCAAGGCGTGGAAGGTCTCAAGCCAGCTGGTGAAGTTCCCGGCCTTGACGTGTTTCGCTGCGGCCAAGACGTCGTTGACATCGCCAGCCCCGAATATGGTGTTTCCGAGGGTGAAGAGCAGCTCGAAATGGAAGCTTTCATCCTTGTTCAAGAGGATGATGGGGTCCTCTGTCTCCTTTGAAGAAGGCGATGGCTCGGAGGCGCGGGGAATAATGGAGCTTGAGGCTATTGTTGCTCCCAGGAGAATGGCACTGAACAGGGAAGTTGACTTCATTGTTTAGGGGACTCAGAAGTAAGTGTGTAGAAGAGAAAAATGGGTAGAGTTGCCAATGATGGTGTTGATCATGTTACAATATTCTCGGCGATGCCCTGCCTTTTATCTTCAATTTCCTGTTCTCGCAATCTGTTCCAGGGAAAGCAACCTACAACCGACCTACACCCATACTATTACCCAGTCATACATTGAGCCGGTTTGCGATTGGTGTTTTTCCAGTGCTTACCGTAGCCACTAGGACGGATAAGGCAATTCCTTTGCGATTGGTCGCCTTGCAATCCTCCGCCCCTCTCTAGTTCCCGCTACGCCACGGCTTACGCCTCTCCCATCGCAAATACTGCACGCAAATCCGGCCGATGAGTAGATGTGGACTTAAACTTGACAATCTATGATTCGTTCGCAACGTTGTCTAATTTCCGCATGACGGCATTTTTAATTCATTCCCTGGTTGCGACGGCCGCGTGGCAACTCTCAACTAGAAAGAAGCGATATACGTTGGCCCTCTTGATCATTGCGCAGTAGCCATGGTCAACCGTGGTCCCTCAAAGGGCTGCTCAACATGTCGCAAACGACGTGTCAAATGCGACGAGGAAAGGCCAAGCTGTCGTGAATGTCTCCGGCTCCAACGGGTGTGTGGAGGTTACGAATCAAAGGAAAAGACAGGAGGAATTCGTTTCAAGGACCAGAGCTCAAGGTTCAGAAGCCCTCGCAAGTCGACATCACCAAAATGCGCAATGCAGGCTGTCATACCAGCAACAATTCCCCCCAGCGACGAATCATTCGCTGTCTCCTTCTTCCTCACCTCGATCGCGGGCTTAGGACGCAGCTTTCGCTCGACCCAGGGTTTCCTGGAGCCTCTTTTCCCCGCCGTAGCCAAGGAGCATCCAGATTCTGTCCTCTCGACCGTCCTGACCGCCGTGTCAACCAAGCTCTGGAGCTTATGGAAATCCCCAACAAAGACCTATCGAACGCCTCATCCCCCATTTACCAGGGCGTTGAGTCGCCTGCAAGCAGCTCTCAATGATCCCACCGAACGGTTAAAGGACAGTACCATACTCAGCGCTATCTTGATGCATTTCTACGAGAGCCTTGCTGCTCGATCGACGCATCAGCATACTATGCGTGTCCACCAGGACGGGGCTCGTGCATTGCTCGAACATGGCGACGGGAGCGTCCCGGACTCGGATTGCCGCGCATACTTGAGGGGCTACCTGCGGCACTGTGATGTGTCGACATATATGGAATTGCAACCAGACGACACCTCGGACCTGGATGTTTGGTTCGATGCAGGGTTGGACCATTCTATGCCAGCCAGCCCAAATGCAGTCTTGGACCTGATCGGGCTCTCGATCGCCGATTTGCAAAAGAGACTATCCACCTTTATGTGCGGGCTGGCCAAGAATGACCTGGACGGTCTGACCCTCGCGACTTGGTGGCAGGACGCTTCGTCTGTTAACGCACAACTATTGACTTGGGTTCACTTAGTACCAGCCTCGTGGCATCCTTATAAAAGACCACAAGAAGACACCTTTGCTTACTTCGGGTTCTGCGATATATACCCGACCGTCCAGATTGCCACCATCTGGAATGTATGGCGCGTTTGCCAGCTCATGCTCCTGCGGATGCAGTTCTATCTACTTGCTAAGACGCCCTCTGAGACGCTGCAGCAAACCATCTTGCTTGCTACCAAGGATGACAGTTTACCAGATCCCAATCACGGCAAGGAGTTGGTGGACTCCATCTGCCGGTCTATACCGTTTTACCTGGGCAACCGCCAAAATCATGGAGGTCTGCACGACTTAACGAACCCAGAGATCAAATTCCCCAACTACCACGACCAAGACTTGGAAGAAGCCATACGTACCCGGTATCTCCAAGGGGATCAGGCAATGAGTCTCTTTGATTACAAGCGACATATACTGATTCAAGGCCCTTCGCACGCACTGCTTCACTTGAAAAGTCTGATCAAAGTGCTAACAAAGGAGAGTGGAGAGCTTATCTGTCGCGGGCTTCATAGGGACAAAGTTGTCTGGATGCAGGAACAGTTTCTCCGGGTCTGTAGACTTAATAACCCAGTTAGTCAGTTTAAATAGTATTAAATCATATAACCCTTTTAATAAGTAACACTTTAGTTTAGGGTATATCTTAAAGCTAAAACTATTAATAATATATAATTATATCCTTAACAAAAAAAGCTATATAGAAAACTTTACAGTCTTTATAATTAACTTAAAAGAGGTAATATAGCTTGCTTCCTACTCTATCTTAATGCTAGTATCTAAGAGTTGCTAAAAGTGCTTCTGTCTGTTTTTGTCTTATTATTAAGCTTCTTTAAACAAGAGCAAGGTAGCTTTCTCTGTGTTTAACAGCTTCCGTATTATGACTAGGTATTCGTTCGGGCTCGATAGCTAGTAAACGTGGGCAATTACCTAATTTGATCTCTTTAGGCGAAGTCTGCCAGACATGTGGAGAAGTGTAGTGCAACGTTTTATGTCGCGGCTGACCCCGGTGAGAGAGGGGTCAAAAGTTCATTGCCACCTGTGTTGGTTGGGCTCAGTACTTGTTAGACGGGATGGTACCCGACCTAACCAAGCTGTGCAGACAAGATTGAAGTAGCAGGGCCAAGTAAAACAATTTTCCCAAAACACAACCGTGGCCGTTCCTCCAGGGAGGGTTATTTTAACAATATGCAAGCTGTGGAGCCTGGGGATGTCATTTGGATCTGATGATCCAACGCACCAAAGCAGCTCGTATGTTGGCGAAGGCAATCTCACTGCATCCAGTAAATTTTCATTGGCTGCGACCAACTTCTTATCTCCAGATCACCAGTTAGCCTCACAGCCTAGCAGTATGCCTTGTTGGCAAAATTACAAAACTTAAGTCATTGCTCACACACTTATAAATGCGTTAATTCCTGGTGCATTTACTGCAAGCACCTGACAGGATTTATCTTTATCTTACTTCTATTTTTCAATTTCGCAGTCTCAGACATTTAACGCACCCACATGGTGATACGACGCTAGTGGACCGTATCTGAATCGTGGTGTAAGTCGAACGCTCAATCTATCACTCTTATTCTAATCAAGTGTAGGTCCTCAGAAGCACATATCCCTGATATCACCCAAGAGAATGACGCCGTGCCATCTCCTCGGGGATCGTCTCTTTATGGCAGTCTCAAAATATCTGGTAACCAGATCAGGTTACTGACAATCACGTCGACCACGCCAGTGATATCGTGTGAAATGGATGTCACCGAGCTTCATGATCAATTATCATTCAATGCGCTATCCTACGTCTGGGGCGATCCTAAAGTTACCGAGATTATCCTTGTGAATGGACACAAATACCCAGTAACAACATCTTTGGCCTCGGCTTTGAGATGCATTCCGCAGCACCTCAGTCAATCGAAACACGCCGCCGGCCAGAAATTATGGGTGGATGCGATCTGTATTAACCAAGCTGATAATGATGAGAAGAGCCACCAAGTTGCCAAAATGGGAGAAATCTATTCCCAAAGCGCACTTGTTCTCTGTTCGCTGGGACTCTTAAGTGATCCGATAGGTGCTGCCATCGATGTTGTACAAATCACAGCTTTTGAGCGATTTTCCCGTTGTGCAAATATGGAAGATCGCAACAATCACCAGAAGTTGAGAGGCTGTATTGCACAGTTACATGATCGCTTGGAAGCGTTCAAGAAGCTCAATGATTTGAAGCAACTTCTAGTCGCCGATAAAACATCCGCAATACCCAGGCTAGTTGGATATATCGAGATTTATGAGCTTGCGAATGCACTTGAACACGCGACTACAGTCATCATACGGGTACTGCGAGGGCCATATGGTTCGGAACTAGGGCTTTGCCAGAAGGACCTGGTAAGCATACATCTGGAAGTCAAAGATTGGCATGACCGGCTTCAAAGACAGACCAGCAAGCTCGATGGCAACTTGATCAAAGACTCTCACCGTGTGGTTTTTCTGTTGGAACTGGTGTCTTCCAGGATTCGCAGGTTCCAACAGACAGTCAAAGATTTAGCTGAACAAGTGATTGCTGATGAAGGGTACGATCATATATTATGGCTTGAGGAGTATCCTTCGCTCTGTGCAGTGGAGGAAATAGTAGGGAAATCCCCTCGGAGTCCCGCCCAACCACTTTTTGACCTTCCGTACTGGAGCCGCATATGGATACGACAAGAAATTATTCTCGCTAAGCAAGCAGTTTTTATTTGTGGATCCCGATCATTTTCCCTTCAGACGTTGGAATACTTTTCAGCTTGGTTGGGATGGATCTTGAGTCCATTAAACTCTTCTTGGTGCCAGAAAGAAAAGCTTTTCAAATTGGTATTGGCATACCAACAAAACTGGAAGCTTCTACACCACATCTTTGCAAGTCGACGAAACCAAGGACTTCCAGTTGGAGACTGGTTGAGTCAAAGTCATTTCATGACCAATGTCTGGTGCCACTCATCAGACGCTTGTGCGACCAACCCCAAGGACTATTATTATGGCTTTCTTGGTATTACAAAGCTTAACATTGTCCCTGATTATAGTCCAGAGAAGTCTATCGGATCTATCAGCAAGGAATTCATGAGGGAATATCTCAAAGTCTACCGTGACCCATCCTTATCCATAGATCCCCTGGGAGGGCCCCTCGGCCTTCTTATGTTTGCAGGAGTTGGTTATGGCTGGAAAGCCGACCCTGAAATGCCATCATGGGGTCCAAACTTCCCTGGAGAGGTACAAGCGAAGCCATCTTCCAGGGGTGTTGCAGATGCAGTGGTTTTTCCAGGCGACAGAGATATTGAGAGTATTTTTGAAAAGGAACCCAACGAAAGAATAACCGGTTCGGACATGGAGGTCACATTACATATCCTGGACCGCATCGAAATGATAGGTCCGAGAGTCTCTGACTATGGAAGACCCGAGCTTCTCCACTCAAAAGGCTTGCCAATAACCTGGCCCCTGGACTTTGCCCTACGCCATGAGAGCTACGTATCAGGGGGCCACCCATTGGCTGCTTTTCGTCATCTACTCGAACCATTGACTACTTTTGAGAGTAAAGAGACTGGTTTCCCTATTGAAAACGGCCTGGAGTTTGTGAAGTTTTTGGGTCGTTTCAATAGTCGATTCCAGAAACGTGGCTCTAGAGCCACGTTGGCCCGTTTTTGTTGCGTGGCAAATTTTCTTGAACAAGTCCCCGTGAGTTTTTCTTCTCTAACTTTGTATCCTCGCTTAATCATCAAGGATCCCAATGAACATGATGACTCGGACGCATACACGAAAGAATGTCGCTACATTGAAATCCTCGGCGCCAAGTGTAAGCCGTACAACCATGCTATAGCAGAGACAAAGAAAGGATTTGTTGGGAGGTTTCCCCCGAGGATACAGGAGGGCGATTTGATTTGTCTACTCAACGGCCTCAACCAAGTAGCCGTTCTACGGCAAGCTGGGAAGCGTTATCAGTTCATTGGGACGTGTTTTGTCGCGGGGTTGACAAGAGTCAAACCTATTAAGTCATTAATTGATCTCTATAGCCTGAAGGCCAAGAGGGTCACCTTGAGGTAGTCCAGGCTGGGCTAGAAGTGGTAAAGTACACATAACTGGAAGGAAACAATTCATGAATGGAAAGATATTTTCAGCTGCTTCTGCTGTTTGCTTTGTTCCTGCATTTGACTTAACGGGCTGCTGTGTTTTCTAGATAGATACTCTTTAATATCAAATGGCAAATCCTTAGGCTTGATTGGTTCCAACCAGTAACGCCAAACTTCACTTCCACTCCACCAAACTCAGCCTTCCTGCACTGGTTTCTCAATAATAATCTCATTGTGCGCATTGACCACTAGATATGAGCCGCATCACTCCTTTCTCAATCGCACAACTCCAGCGACGACTCGACTAACGGAAACAAGAGAAGTCTTCAGAATCAGACTTTCTAGACCACTTCATTGATGGAATGAAGAGTAATCGAGATTCCGTTGATGCAAAACTAGTGTTGAACGTCCTGTTGGCCAATTTCCTTGCTGGAGTTGCTGTGGGCTTGAATCCATATATTATCAGCCAAAGTGAAAAGTTTTGGGTAGATGATACAAATCGATTTCGTCCTTAACGATGGTTTAAGATAGAAGACGAAAGTGAAGAGGAGTATCAGCGGCGTTTACAAACGATGAATGGAGCAGATCCAACTTTCGGAGGAGGCTCTAGGATCTGCATCGGGAGACACATTGCACTTATTCAAATCTACAAGGCTGTAGCCACTTTGGTTTCGCGATATGAGATTCAACTTGCGGATCCAAAGGCTAGAATGCTGATCATATCTGGATGGTTTCCACGTCAAAAGGGTTTGTTTGTCAAAATGGACAAAAGATAGGAAATGATGAAATATTGAACAGGAAGAGAACAAGTTCGTCAGGTTTATGCACTATATATCAATAATCATTCCTTCATCTGTGGGATACAAAGACCCCTCGTTCTCAAGTCTCTGCAATAAGTTCTCAAAATCAGCCCAGTCACAGCCAATCTCATCAGGTAGTATGGGCATATTGAATGGCTGACCCGAGAAGGGATCTAGTATGCCCTCATCTATCGAGAAAGGAGGATTGCTTGCGAGTGCAGGGCCAACGACCTCTGTGAATGTTTGTTGATCGGTCAAAGGTGTAACATTCTGATCGGACAGGCTTGTTGATGAATTGAGAGCGGGAGTGTTGCTGTCGTTATCGTTTGGTGCAGGGATAGGTTTCATAGCTTCTTGGACAACACGAAGAAGACCGTTTAAAATGGTGTTCAGACGATCTTCCTCACTGATGCCAACACAGTAGCAGCGGACCAAATCCGCAGCGGTTACAAGAAGCTTTCCTAATCAGCATGATAAGGCATTTTGGAGATTAGGTCAACTCACACTTTGATCAATTTTTGAAACACGCGAATGAGGCTGTTTCAGAATATGAACAGCCAGGACATACATAGCATGAAGCAGTGGGAAGTAAGCCGGTGCAAAAAGATGCGACGCCGAATCGTCGTTGTCAGCGAGAAGATGAACTATCTTTCGCGCGGAGTTTGCGACCATCGATTGCCCGTTGCGGATCTGGTACTCCCATGGTGTATCTTTGGCGATGATCTCTACTGCCATGTGCAGGGCGTTTTTGCTGATCAGAAGAGAGTTGCGGTTCAGCATTATGAGGCTGCAACATGTTAGTATCAAATTTCATTGGCTGACTTTGATCAGCTTACGCGTTATGGTAGTGTAGAGACACAAATGATGCGAGGCCCAGGTTGTCGGGGACGCGCATAAAGTCCGAGGTAGGTCTATCCCATTTTAGCAACATGAAGGCCCTGCTATGAGATGCCCTACCTTATATCAGCAGGGACACTATTAGCCCAGTTCGTCAACATCAGAAATGCCTCTCCAGTGCTCGTAACCTTCTCTTTGACCACCGCCTCAAGAGCTCTTCTGCTAGCTCTCTCCTCAAGTTGTCTTGCCGTAGCACACCGACGACTCATCTTGCTAAACACACTCGCCATCGATAGCGCGATTCGCGACGGCTCAAGGGCAGTGGACTTGATAACATCTAGTTCCAAGGTGTCGAATGCATCATCTGAGATAGTTGACACATATCCAAGCTGGAACGAGAACAGCTTCTCGTAGCTGTATAGAGCCCACCACGCAGGATTCCAAGCATCGAGATCCAGTGGTTTCTTCCTATTCTTTCCAGGCTTGTTGAGACCAAGTGAATGGGCTATAGAGAGGCAGATACCGAGCGTTGTCCAGGCTGAAATGATTTCGTCGTTTAGGCGGAGACACACTGAGAAGAGAAAGAGGACTTCAATGGTATCATATGATACATTTTCGATGAGATAGCCCAGCGCGTTGCGGGCTAGAGAAAGTGTTTCAGCCATATAAGTCTTTCGCTCGGTATGCTGGAGAATACATCCCCCCGCAGCGAAAAGCAGGTGGCTTCTCAACGCTGCAATATCGACAGCATGAGACGTCAAGTTCCCTGGGTGAGACTGCACTACATCGGCACGAGCCTGGTCGAGCCTCACAACAGGGTAAAACATATGTATCTCCCTCGCATACGCATCGAACAGAGTCTGGGGCACCCATGTCTCGGGCGTGATCGGGATTCCGTGCTGGGGCTGAGATGCCGATTGTGGGTTTAGCGTAGACGGGGGATACGAGCCAAAATGGTAAGGGATGCTCAGCCGGAAACAAGCCAGGTCGAGCCATTCCGTCAATATCTGGAAAGACGTGGTGCCGGCGCTTTGTCGCCATATAGGTAACGGGTTGCTGATGGTGTCAGTGTGAGAAGAGTCTCTACTCTGTGACGGTCTTGGACTCTGCGATCTCGCGCGAATTGGCCCAGTAACATTAACCTCAATGGTCCTCGGCTCAGCAACAGAATGTCTCCTATCCACAACCCCAGTCTGTAATCCATACTCCGACGGACTCGCAGACGTAACAGATCCTCCATCCGTTGACTTTCCGGCTTCTCGTCTCTTAATCACCTTGCCCGGTCTGCGCCTATCTTCCGTTACACAGGTAACTCCGGCGAGAATACAAGCCTGACAAGAGGGCTGCTGCTCATCACAGCGCGTTTTGCGACTCCGACAGTAATTGCATGCGAAATTCAGACGGCGCCGTTTGCTGGATCTGGGGATCCCGGGGCTGTCTTCGGTATCCATTGGGGAGGGCATGGGGGTCGGGAAACGTGGGGGAGATAATGTGAATGATGATTGGATTGATGCGATGCCGGTAGATGGGCACGGGTTCCGGTGACAAGGGTTACAGTGGGATTCAAGATCTGGAGTTTCTGTGTTTGGGTGGTGAGATACCGAGCCGACGGAGGCGCAGACAGCGTATTTTAATACACGATCGGTAAACCTTTGCCCTTCCCCGCATTCATTCCCCTCGGAGACTCGGCTCCACCCCCGCAACTTTACCTCATTTTCGACCCCATCGTGTAACAGCCAATCGGAGTCTATTCGTTACGCTATCAGACTAACTTAGCACCAAGGTCCAGACCTGACTCCGACCCGGGGGCGATCTGATTGATATAAACCTCGCTTCGTCGCTGCTTGAGATATGGAAGCATCAAAACTCATCCAGTTGACAAGGTGTAGTCATGGCTGAGCGACGCGATTCTTTCGGTATGAAACCTGACGTCGATGCTGTTGAGGACATCATCAAGACGCCTCATCACGAGTCTCACGATGCGTCTGGTACGGTTAATCTGTATCAAGATGGAACTGTTGTTCTTGTCCCGACGCCCAGTCCTGACCCCAAAGGTAAACAAACACATCATTCTTTTGATTATCGTAAACTCACATTTTTATCAGATCCTCTCAACTTGCCCGTCTGGCGCAAGTACATGATCATCCTCCTCGTCGGCTTCTACTCCGGTATATCAGTCCTAGGAACTTCCGGTCTCGGCTCCGTCGCCCCAGAGCTCTACGCGCTTTATCACAACGACAATGCCAAGCGTGTCAGCGATTTACTCACATATCCCACTCTCTTTATGGGAATTGGCAATCTGCTCTCTATGCCTCTCGCCAATGCCATCGGCCGACGACCTGTCTTTCTCTTCTCTCTGCTACTTCTGACAGTTTCTGGAATCTGGTGTGCTTGCTCAAAGTCGCTTACAAGCCATATCGCGGGGCGCAACATCTTCAGTTTGGCTGCTGGACAGAGCGAGGCCCTTGCGCCTTTGATTGTGCAGGAGATTCACTTCCTTCATCAACATGGTGTCAAGCTGTCTTATTTTGTTGGTGTTCAGAACACTCTTACTGCGGCTCTCTTCACTGCGACTACGTACATCGTCCCATCGCTTGGCTTGCCATGGTGGTATGGTATCATGACCGTCATCAATGGCTGCACGATGATCATGTCCATCTTCTTCCTCGCTGAGACTCGCTACGACAGACCCGAAGAAGCAACTGGTAAGCTTTCCCGCTCTCTTTACTAGTCAATACTAACCTTGAACAGAAGGTGCTGTCCATCTGAGGCTCGACAAGAACGGTAATGTCGCCCACGAGGGTACCAATGAGGTTCTGTACCAGGTCACAACTCGCAACGGTGTTGTTCTCCAGCCCGAGAAGTTCGGCGAGAGAACATGGCGCGACGACATCAAGTTGTTCCACGGCAAAGCTGACTGGAAGAGTCTTGTCTCATTCTACAAGGACGTCGGGCTGTCTCTCATCCTGCCGCCTATCTTCTGGATCTTCATTCTCAATGGTGCTTTCCTAGGCCTTTACATCTACCAAGCCTCAACCTTTGCTGTGATCCTGGTACAGCCGCCTTATAACTTTAACGGCAAACTTCTCGGATATGTGCAGCTTGTGCAGATCATCGACTGTTTGCTTGCTGTCCCACTTCTCGGATATGGCTCAGATATCATCTGCAGATTCATGAGTCGACGAAACAAGGGTGTCTTCGAGGTAATATCCCTTTCCCGACTTACAAGATTGCATACTGACTGATACAGCCTGAATATCGCCTTATTGTACTCATCATCCCAGCAGCTTGTGCCATCATCTCCGCGATCGTCTATGGCCACGCAGCCGCCTCGCCCAACGATTATCACTGGATTGCCATCGTCGCCCCATATCATCTGGGCTTCTTCTCTTTCCTCGGTGCGAACTTGGTCGGAATCACGTTCGTCATGGACAGTTACCCCAACAAGTCTGGACCTCTTCTTCTCGTCGTTTGTGCTGGTCGAGGTTTCGTCTCATTCGGTTTGAGCTACGCAACCGTGCCTTCGATCCAGTCCCTTGGATATGATGGTGCTATGAACATTCTTGCTATCATCTGTGGCGTTCTGAGCGCCCTGGGCGTTGTCATGTACCTTATTGGAAAGCGAGTTCGTGAGTGGGCGCGTCGACGTATCTGGCCCAAGCATCACGAGGAGTAGGGATTTACAGGGAGCTAAGTCGCATAGACTATCGCACTATATTGATCCCTTTGACTTGAAGCACGACATTAAATGAACCACTTGATCGCAAGATACGAGAATGGCCGTATCTACCTTTGAACGAGACATCCCCTCTGCTTGTGACCATGAAGTCCGAGCCTACTAAATGCCAATAGAGAAGCCCCTATAGAATTGTTCCGCGAGCGGGCTCACACGGTCAACGTCCGTCTCCGCTTTCTACTGAAATCGTCATTATATAATATTAGACTTGACTATCGGCTATGTCTGGTGTTTCACCACGGAAACGACTGACTGATTCGCCAATGGCATGGCATCCGTGCGCAACCAGTTCATGCACTATAGCCCTAGTGTGACGATACACACTGTCCAAGGAGCGAGAAAACCTCTGACGTTCAGCAGATATCAAAAATAGCTAATCTAGACTCCACTAAATCTCTTCTCAAGTATCCCAAACTACACTAAACTTACCTAAATCTTTTTTTTTTCACTTAGAATAGCTGTTCTAAGATGTCGTGCCTTTGATTGGCTCAGAATGGGTTTAATTGCACCCTTATGCAAAACAGCTCGGCTAAACAATGCATTAAATTACAGGGACCGAATTCTCCCTCTAGCTTGAGATCGGTTCTAAAGCATCTATGGATAATGATGTGTTTGCATAAACATCAGCCTGTCAAGGTTACATAGACCAAAACATCGAGTCCCCCGCTAATAGATAGATGCAAGGTCTCATGAACATCTGTCAGGATTCTTAAAGAACTCCAATCCCGGAGATTTGTTCTGCTTACTTCTACCTCATGCGGTTTTGCTTCACGCCCATCAGCCATTCAATTTACCGATCATAATCTGTCTAATACAGCAAATAATTACATTTTCACCCCATCATCCGTTCAATGTTCTCCGCAATGGCCAAATCAAAGTCCAAGACAGAGGCCTCATCCGAGACCGACACCGCCCCCACAGAACCCGCTGCCCGTCCCGTGAGCACCTGCGGCAGCGAGCATCTTCTTATGACAACGCGTCGCCAAGCATCAGAGCAATACGCCAAAGCAGCCAAAGCCGAAAAGGCCTACCGCACGAAGAAGCGCGCTGCTCTCGCCCGCGCCAACTACAACGAGACGAAGACACACTTCAAAGAAGCATTCTCGCACCTCTGGCTTGCACTAAAGGGCGTGTTTCCGGCGATTAAGAACTCAAGATATCTTCTTGGTGAGAGGCGCGATAAGAGGAGGCAGTGGGCTGAGAAGAAGAAGCGGGAGAGGAACCTGGAGAGGAAGAAGAAGCTTGAGGAGCAGTTAGCGAGGGAAGAGGCGGAGGCGGAGGCTGATGGGGGAAAGGAAGAAGATAAGGCGAAGGAATAGGGACGTTAATGAATCATGAGCTTACGCTTGTGATGATAGTCTGTCGGTGGTTTGTACTTGTCTTTTGAGGGTGGCGTTTGTCTCTGGCTTGAGGTAACGATACCCAACTTTCACTCATTTATTTCCTTTGTCCTGACGCAATATAGATTATTGCTCTCAAATATCTGTAATCAACCAATATTTAATCAACAAACACATATTCTGCTGATACAGTTGAAATTACCACGCTTGACGTTGCAGCGTAAGTGAGAGCGAAATAGCAAAAGCAATATCTCAACCCAATCGCTACTTTGGGGAGACCTTCTTTGACTTGGTAATTGCATCAGCAGCTTCTGGTATACAACTCAGAGACTCAATAGTGAAGCTCGAGATCTTCTCCCTCCTTACCAGTGTTCTGATACTTCTCTGCACTTTCCTGGCGTAAAATACATAGATAGTAACTAGGGTTCCTTTCCTTACTGGTCTTGGTTGCTACCTGCATCATTGACTTTCCTGCACTCCCATATCATATAATCTAGATTTCAGCTGTGTCGTGATGTTCTGACAGCCAGAGGAAACCTGGCCGAATGATTCGGCGAGGTCTTAGAGACATTGAGGCAGAGACAAGAATCTCATTGAACGGCACATTATCCCTTGGCTTCCAGCCACCGACTGACGCTAAACTCTGCCGCACGTTGATTGGACCTCTGGTAATGTTATGTTAAGGCTGCTTTAGAAGTGTCCCGAGACGATCCAACTTGGTAAATTCCGACTGCCCTCCCGACATCCGACAAACGTCAACATTTAAGCACCTGACCCTGAAAGAGTCAGTCCTTACCTTATTCTCGCAAATGAGATAATTACTTGAATTAAGCGAGCTGTTGCAAAGCCATTTATGCTTTCTTGGCAGTAAGACTAGGGTTGTACTGTCGGAGGACCAGATAAGGACAATGTAACCAATAAATACATGATGAGTCAGATTCGGCCCAATAAGCTTTATATATCTAACAAAAATATTTCCATAGGAATTCTAGACCCAATTGGACTTAAATATCTGACGAGGAGACAATTAGGCGAAGGAAACTGCCGAATATTATGCCTATTTCAGGTACACTGACTAGATCGCTAGTATAGCTAAAAGGACCCTGAAGACAAAAGTTCCTGAAGTGACACGATATAGAATGACATAAATCCACTCTTGGCATTAAGATAAAGGTCAGCATCTAAAAATAACACAAGAGTTCTTGACTTGAATAATGTAGTATGGCGGTGAGCTAAGTTAATTAAAGCTTAGTATTTAAGTGTATATAGCTAGACAACTTATTATCCATCACCTCTTGTCCCAGCTCCATCAGTCTTAGTATCACTACTTCCACCACCTTCTCCTTCACTATGCATATTTCGGCTGTCTCTCTTCTTGCCCTGTTTGCCGGCGCTATGGCCGTTCCGGTGTCCGACAACAGTAACACTCTAGAAAAGCGCTGCGAGTGGAACGATGGCCACGGGCCCATCAGCTGGTATGATCTCTCATCGGGTAACTACCTTAAACACTAACTGTTTGAAGTGACTATTTTAGTATCGTCTTCGGTGCAGAAGGACGCGAGCGCTCAGAATTCATAATCAAGGGCAACAACTTCGAGCAGCGAGGTTTTCCGAGATGCGATCCCTGTACGTATCATCTAAACACCAGCAATCCCTGCTTGACTAACTGTTTTCTAGGGCAAGGCCATAACTATCAGCCATTTTTTAGTCCGCTCCCTTACGTGGTTATGGTGGCTCCTGGCAATACCTGCGAAACTCGATTGCCTGAGGCCTGGTGGGACGATCTGCATATCAAGTATTCCAGCACCTTCTTGAATGCACCTACAGACACCCGCTGTGGACCGGTCGAGAACGGTTGGGGCCGCCGTTGTATCATTGCTCAACGCCCTTAACCTCGAGTATATTGTACCACCAGTTATTGTCAGTTAAACTATTTTGACTGGCTAGGGCTAGCGTTTGCCTTTTACGCAAGCCCTTGGTGACACGCAATCAGCGGCTTGGCCAAGTCTGACTTCTCTTACGGCATTAGTCATGCTTTTATTGCTCATTGCTTCTTATAATTATTGTATGCATAAATACTATATCCAGCACCTAGTCCGTCACAATTCCGTGCCACAGTAGCTTCAGGCATGTAACCCAGAATTCAATGGTTGAGGTCAAGGTCTGCTCCCTCCTTGACAGTGTTCCAATACTTCTCCGCACTCCGCTGACGCAACGCCCGTCCCCATTTCATGACAGGGAAGATGGTCAAGTTATGTGCCAGGCCCGCGAACGCACCCAGGATGAAAGCATTCTGATAGCCAAGGTTGACAACCCAAGGAGTGACACTAGCATTATCAGCGAAAGTCTACGGTCAAGGGATTGTATTTGTGTGCTTACCCATATCCAATGCCGAACGCCATCGTGTTTCGGATGATGATGGCAGTGGCTAAAGCTTCACTTGCGAGATCGTGATAGCAATCGATGCAGTATGCAATCGAAATCTGTGAACCAGCTGTTGTGGTGAAGGAGATAACGCCCATGGCAAAGACGATGGAGAACCAATGAGCCTCATAATAGGCTCCGACACCAAACAAGATACATCCAAAGGGAATGAGAATGAGAGATGGCAGGAAGAGCCACAGTCGGTGCTCAGCCTCCATAAAACCGCCGTTCCGTCGCGCCATCTTGATGATGAACTTATCGCCAAAGATTCCAGTGTAAATACACCTAACTTCTGTTAGCTTCTGATCCCTTCATTATCATCCGGGACTTACGCAAGGGTCGTTCCGATGAGTGGAGCGATAAATGTGAGCCCGACAGTCGAAGTAGGCATGTTATAAGGCTTATTCGACAGGACCATAGACTCAGTCGCGTTCAGAACAGACAACCAGACGATGTTGCAACCGTAGATGAACCCAGCATATGAGATGATGGGAAACGCAAGCAGGAGAATCGGTCGGCTGATGAGCTTGATGAGTCTATTCTCACCTTTCAGGTTCTTACATTCGATCGGCTTGAGACGGGACATGCGTGATTTCTTGCTGAATTCGGTGTTGTCGTGGTCGAAAGCCTCGTTGGGTGCGCTGACGTTGGTGAGAGTGGTAGTCGCGACTTGATCTTGTTCAGCGTCATGTTTCGTATCGAGATCGTCTTTGGTATCAGGGTCGGTCGAGGTTTGATTGGCACTAGATATGGTCTGTCCCTCAATGTGGTTGCTTGTCATGTACTTTGCCCGATCGAACTTGGTCTCCTCCATGAAGAAGAAGATGATGAGTAGCAGAACAGCGCAGAATATGGCGCACCAGTACTGTCGACCTATGAATTTCTTTGTCTTTCGATTGGGAAGGGAGTACTTACAAATACCCATTGATAGCCCTGTCCATCGTTGATGAAGCCCATGATAAGCGGAGCGATGCCGTTGCTGTAGCCGAGTGCGAGAGCATAGAGAGCGATGAACTTGCCTCGTTCGTGAGTGAAGAACTGTGACACTTGTATAAGCCTAAACTACGCAGTTGGGCTACTTGAATAATGACTTACGACATCTGAAACAGTAATCTCGGCTAAAGACTCAATCGGCGCACCAAATATGCCCTGAAGAATCTTGGTCGCGATCCACTCTCCGTTTGATCGCACGTGAGGCTGCCAGACCATGACGCCCTAGTCCTGTCAGTTTCTAAGCCATCTATAAGACTTGGATACCTACCAGAGTTCCCAGTGTCGTCAACAGATACACAGGTCGCTTGCCGTACTGGATGGCGATGGCTTGCCAGATGATACAGCCCCAGCCGAAAAAGAGGAACTAGCAACATGTCAGACTATCACTAAAAACACAGTATAGAGAGTTAATCACCATGTATCCTGTTCCAGAGTTCAAATCATTATAACTCAAACCAGTAGACTCCGACAAAGGTCCTAGAGTCGAATACAGCGCAGAAGAACATATGCCAATGACAAGCACATATCTGCATCACGTCAGTGAACCCCGACACAATAATTGAAGGGGAGGCTTACGCTGCCATGCAAAACGCGGAGAGGTATTTTCTCCTCGGCGACCAGTTCAGCGGATCGTCCGGATGAGCTGACGGAGCTGGGACGAGAACAATGTCGTGCTCCGCTCCTTTCGCGTGCTGCGAGTCCATACTTCCCTGGGCGTCGACCAAGTGGACCGTTCCAGGGATTGCCTCGATCTGATCTGCCATGTTGGCAGTGGTCTGACTCTGAGTGGGCATGATCTAAAAGATGGGGAAAAGATGGGGAAAAGTAGTTGGTATTTTTTGTTGTGGAGTTTTCGACTGATTGGTGTCAGTAACGGGATCCTTTCTCCTCTTATATACGTCGGTAAAGTCTAATTAATATGCTAGATTGATCTATCTTGACTATCCCTCGTAGTTCCAACGCGTAGCTTCACTATTCTCGGCGCCTTGTTCTTGGTGTTTGGGCCTTGGCCTTATCAGGCCTGACGTCAATCTCTCCACCCAAGCCGTTCATCCGAGCAATAGTTCTGGGGTAGCAGAAACCAGAAATATCCCGATTTGGAGAATAGCTCCAGAAATTAGAGCACGTTGCAATGCGGGGGCGGAGCCATGCTTATCGCTAGCAGACAGCCCGGCCACTCGGCATCAAAGGATATCATCATCCGTAATCACGTCCTCGTTTTCGAGAGAACCGGCGTCTTGGCAGGGAATGAATCCAATCTCGCGGATCATCAAAAAGAGAGACGATGAGCTCCAGGGAGATAAGGATATTTCCTAGTCAAGTTAACACAGTTTCGCCGATGACCTGTCTAATATTCTCGTCCAACCAGATTACTAGAGTTTTCCGAGAGGCTCGGAATACTACTCCGCATGGCACACCTTAGCTTATCGCCGCAAGCGCTAGAGCACGACTACTCGATCAGGAAATAAGAAACCAATGAAGCAAATCACACTGCCATCCGAAATGTTATATAGGCATGGACCAGTCGGTGCGATAATGATGTGTAATGAGATTCTCGGAAGACAGAGACCATAAGATAATATTCTGAGCATTTTGCCATTCACAAATACCAATAGCCAAAATGGTTGCTTCACAATATCCCGTTCGCCCTGCCCTTCATCATGATGAAGAAGAAATCACAGGCTACGTAGACCCATGGGTAGTATCTCCCGGCGAAACAGCCCACGTCAAGGTAATCCAGCCTCATCCTCCTTCCTACAACCTCCCCGCTAACCATCCAAGATCTCCTCTACAAAGCCCAAGCTCAAGTATCAACTCGTCAGACTCCTCCAAGGACTTGACATGCCCCATGCCCCAGCCCCCGCCAAAGAAGTCATCGAGCACGGTCCAAAAGGCGAGTTGGTCGGTCGTTTTCAAGCGTCGCATCCTGGTTCCTACGCGGTTGTCGATGCTTGGAGGAGAGAACCTCTGCTGGGCAAGTCAGAAGGCGTTGAGATTGACTTTTATGTTCAGCCTTGGATGCTTGATGCTCCTCATCCCCAGGCTATTCTGTCCAACCTTGACGCCGCCAAGAGCGCTGGTATAGCTGTTCTTCTTGATCGGGATAATCAGCTTCTTGTGTGGATTGGTACCTCCAATGGCATTGAGGTCAAGAAGATTGCTTCTTCAGCCCGTGAACGTCGGTGGTTCCACGTCCGCATCACTCTTCGTGGGAGGGAGTTTCAGTTACAGCTCACTCACATTGCTTCTGGAAACGAAATTGCTCCTTCATCAACCACCGTTCATACCTCTCTTTCCAGTACTCCCCGTCTTGACTCCGGTAGCCCTATGTACTTTGCAGCTACTACAGCAGCCAGCCCGACCTCAGCTTCACAGCTCCCAGTGCACTTCTTCAACGGCCGCATCGAAGCACCCCGCTTCAAAGCCCTAGGCCGAAAAGCCTGGGACATCGCGCGCTACGATTTCTCCGTTGGTATTGACACCGATGAGATCTTTGATGTCTCTGGCTCTGGTCTTGATGGCATTCTTGTCAATGCGCCAACGCGAGCTATTCGCGGACATGACTGGGATCACAAGCTCATTGGCCTCGGCTGGAAGGAAGCCACGTATGGTTTCGGCGCTATTCACTTCCACGACGATGATCTTGATGACGCTGCGTGGGACACTGACTTTGAGTTCACTGTCCCTTCTGATCTGCGCTCTGGCGCTTATGCGATAGAAGTTCAAGATACAGAGTCAGACCTCAAAGACGCAATTGTCTTTTTCGTCCGGCCTAAAGAAGTCCGACCGCAAGCCAAGATCGCTTTTGTCTTTTCGACGTTTACGTACCTCGCGTATGCGAATGAACATATGTACGACGAGACCAAGTCAACACATATCTCATTCCCCGAAGGTGTTCAGCTCGTAGCGTCTGACAACTACTACAAGATGGTACGCCGGCATGATGTTGGTCTCGCTATCTACGACCTCCATAGCGATGGTTCAGGCGTTGTGTACAGTACCACCAAACGACCGATTCTGAATGTGCGGCCTGATTATATCCACTGGGGCTTTCAGCGACCACGAGAGTTCTCAGCTGATCTGCTAATGGTTGGATTTCTCGAGAAGCATTTCGGCGACGGTTACGACATTCTCACAGACCATGATCTTCATCTCCGCGGTCGTGCTGCATTGTCTCAGTATGATGTTGTTATTTCTGGCTCTCATCCGGAATATCCTTCTGCAGAGTCTCTGGATGCCTACGAAGGACATGCCAAGAATGGAGGATCACTTATTTATGCCGGCGGTAATGGATTCTATGTAAGCAACCTAATCGTGGAACTAGTACAGAGCTAACGCGTGTTTAGTGGAAATCGGTTACAGATCCCAAGAGACCTCATCGCATGGAAGTGCGGCGCGCTGATGTCGGTGCCCGAACCCATGAGAACCCCCCAGGCGAGCGCCATCACGCACTAAATGGCCAACTCGGTGGTCTCTGGCGCTCAATCGGCCGCCCGCCCAACGAGCTCTGGGGTATTGGTAGCTGTGCTTCAGGTAAAGGCCCCGGTCGACCATTTATCCCAACCGACGAAGCCCTCAACAATCCCTCCCTAGAGTGGCTCTGGAAAGGCCTTAACGAAGAGTCCCGAAAGCTCCTCGGAACAAAGGGTCTTGCTGGGGGTGCAAGTGGCGATGAGCTCGATCGTCTTGATATCGCGATCGGCAGTCCGGCTAATGCCATCTTGCTTGCTCGAAGTGAGCGCCATGATGATCATTTTATGCTGTTCAACGAAGAACTCATCTTCCCCATGATCGGAACACTTGGCTCGACTTCGCCGCTTGTGAGGAGCGACATGGTATACTACGAGACTAATGGAGGCGGTTCTGTTTTCAGCGTTGGAAGTATTAACTGGAACAATTCTCTGGCTTGGGATGGGTATCAGAATGATGTTGCGCAGGTGACTGAGAATGTCATCAGAGAGTTCCTCGCCCGTGAGAAGAAGAATGCCTCGGCATGAACAGGATAAAAGGAACCCACAAGGCCAAAAGCAATGACAGTGTATTTGTTTACCTCAAACTCAGATAAAAATATCTATATACAAATTCCAAATCTGTCCATCTATTTATTTTACACATTTTGTACTTGTCATTCCTCCACTCAAAGCGTATGCCATCCTTGTTCTATGATATCTCACTCAACCCCGCTGTCGCTGTGGACAACAACCTTCTCTGCATCCTTCCCAGCAGCCATCTCCTCAAAGTAAGACTCATCTTTCTTCTCACGACTGACATACCCAGGTGGCGTCCACTTTGCGCTCTCCCATGCCTTGAGTTCAGGCAGACAGTACATCATGTCAATATGTTCAAGACTAAGAGTCTTTGACTCGTATAGGAAGAAGTATACGATGATAGTGCCAATCAGGTTCATACCAGCAAACACGTAGCCAAAGGCGTAGGAGATACCGGCGTCGGCGAATGGAGTGAGGAAGCTGATGAGGACTGATGCTGGTCAGAACTAGCACCCGAGACTTATCATGAGGCACTTACAGTTTGCAAGCCAGTTACTTGCCGTGGCCAACGAAGCCTGTTTGGCACGAGTGCGCAAAGGAAAGACTTCTCCAACAACGACCCAGCCGAGTGGGCCCCAACTGACAGCGAAGGAGGCGATGAACATGCAAGCGGAAACAATCATGACAATACCACTGGTACTGCTGCCCTCGGGGTCAATTGCTGTCCCGACAGAAGCAAAGATAAGTAGCCAAGCAGTCTGCCACAAACCGCCGATGATGAGGGGCCAGCGACGCCCGAACTTTTCTGCAGAGTAGATACCGAAGAAGGTCATTCCGACGTTGATGGCGCCGAGGATCAGCTGGACGAGGATGGGGTCATCAATGCCGGCAGACTCAAAGATGGTGGCTCCGTAGTACTAATGTCGTGTTAGTTTTTGTCGCTCAATAGCAGCGGTCTGCTTACGAAGAAATAGTTGGCGCCAGTCCACTGCTGAAAGAACTGAACAGCCATTCCAAGGAGTGTTCGGTACAGCACCTTCGGTCCCTTATTGCGCACACCAAAGCATTCCAACCAGCTTCCCTGTCCAACCTTTCGTTCCTCCTCCAGCAGAATCCTCATCTCCTGAATATTATCCTCAACAATCGGATTCTTCACATCACTCATCATACCCCTCAATCTCGCTAGCGATGTCCTCACACCATCCCAATCCTCCCTCATAGCAAGCCATCTCGGGGACTCAGGACAAGCCAAGACCCCAAGACCAAGCGGAATCGAGAAGGCCATCTCAATAGCGATAACAATTCTCCACGATGCATCACTATCTTCAATCTCTCGAACGCCATAGTTGACAATGTTAGAGATAAGAATGCCGAAGCATATCATGAGCTGATATGACGACACGACAGCACCGCGGATTTCTCGCGGTGCACACTCGCTCTGGAACATGGGGACGCCGATAGAGAGGGCGCCGACACCGAGTCCGGCGATGAGACGGCCTATCATCATGTGGACCCATGAGTACATTGCCGTGATTTGGATGACGTTGCCGAGGAGAAAGATGACGACGAAGATGGTGAGACTTCATCTTCTACCATACCAATCTGCAGTGCTGTCGCGATGTTAGTAGACAGTCGCGTCATTTGTGATGGGAGACTTACTAGGATCCGGATAATGCTCCAATGAGACATCCGATGCTCATAAGAGACACGAGAATACCCTGGATGGCGGGGACCCAGTATTTAGTGCCGTCCTCGTCTGTCTGAGCGAAACGATCGACGTAGTCTCTGAATAAAAGCATAGCCGAGATTTGACCTGTTTCACGTCAGACTCAGTAACACCGAGGATTTGGTATCGCTCACCAGTATCATAACCAAACAGAAAGCCTCCAAGAGAGGTGATGAGGGCCAAGACCAGAGCCTCAGCTCCGCAGGCTGCCCCGTTGACAGTGAAAGATCTGGTTATCGATCAGCTCTGTTTCACTACTTAAAAGTAGAAGAGACATACTTGTTCCCAAGCATATTGTCAGTCAATGTCTTGTAAACCCAAACTAATTGATCTGCTCTTCTCTTCCAGCGCGGTCCCAATCATCTATTTATTCCCTCCACTTCCAGCGGATCCTCCAAAAAGGAGTCCTAACTACAAGTCCCATGAGGTCTTTCGAAACCACGACAACGCGATACTCAAACCTCCAATTCTGCTCAGCGGATCAATACGTCTCACCGTTATCCTATCGGGGAACAAGGCTAAATAGAAGCTTCACCTTTTATCCGTCAAGGTGAGGCTCCCCGGATATAATCAAAGGGCCGAATTCAGGGGTTTTAGAGTATTGGGCCGAAGAGCGCCGGACCGGTGAGCATGGTTCATCCTAGCGGGCGATGTTTATTCTCCGTGGGATGTGTTTATTGTGGAGAATCACGCGTGGGGTCAACGCTGGACTTCCCCATGATAGGAGAAATAGGGTTGTGGGATGGGAAAAAGTAAGCGTGATTCAACGTCGTGGGAAAGACGCATGTTGTGCTTCTTGTTCTGCACCGCTTGTTTGTTGCTACACCATAAAACTTTCACGGAGATATAAAGGATGTTTTTCAACCATGAGAAATAAATGAGCACCTGATTTGCACCAAAAGTTGCAAATGAAAATATCAGCACAGACAAAATCCGCGGCAGTGAGTCCGGTATATCCGGTCTTGGCGTCCATCAGCTCGGGACGTAATAGGTAGCACAATCACCTGACTTCGGGAACGACGCTGGGAGGCATGGGACTTGCGGAGATTTATTTGAGTATTATGCTTGAAGTTAAATGACTCAGTTAAATTCTCGCGTTACGTTCTTTGTGAAGCAACGTTCCATTACGCACTGAACCATTGCAGGCTTGAACTCGTTTGTAAGACTTGGATTGGGTGGCATGACCGTGCGAATGACCATTTCCGGATTATTCCTCTGTATGCAGAGCATATTGTGTAATCGAGTATTTGCTAAGTCTAAGATTGATAAATAAAAACTTGCTCTCGATCGTGACTTGAGACTTTGTGGTGAAACGTGCTTCGCGTTTCACGATTTGTTGATACGCAGATTAACGTCAATTTGAGCTAAAGACTACTGCAGATGATGGCACCATCAATTTGGGACCTGTACGCAACTTGGGTAGGTAGAAAGTAATTTTGCAAGATATTATAAAATAGACAGCATGATTTAACACTCGTTTTTGGCATTTAATTATCTCTGAAATAACGTAAATCGAAATATCACCAAACTCTAGGTTAGGCCAATCGGAGGGAGGATGCATCAGCTACTTTGATTGGGCCAACGATACTCCACTCCAGCACAGATCCAAACGGTTCGTTGGTTGGACAGGCTATAAATAGGTTTATCACGGAACAGAACGGCCCGCCCAGACCCTGGAAATACCCTGACCCAATAACTCGGAAATAACACGCGTAGCAGAGCCACTGAATCAACACTGTAGCCAAACCTTGATTATGTTTTCCTCCTCCAAAAGCCAAAAGCTACACCTTCGAGTAACATTCGCTGTGGCATATGGATAAAAACTGTATTTCCGAACTTGCAGTGCCTCGTTTGATTAACCTCGCGTTTACAAAAGCTTACGTCATGTGCACCAGCTGCGATGACAGCTCTAGGCATCCACGCCTTTAGAGTTGAACCTGCAACTTATATCTCCCTCTCCCGCTCCTGTCACGATCTCAACTTTTCATCATCCTCACCATCATCTCAAAATGTCGGATCATCGAGAAATACCAAAATTCACCGTCGATCTCTCTCGGCCTCCCGAGACCCGCTACGACCATATCGTTCCGCACTTCAAAACCGCCGTAGACTCTTGCGATTTACCCTCCCTATTCTATACCCTCCTCAATGAACTTGCTGGGAAATCTGCAGGAAAAATAATCGCTGCTGTGTCGCCGCTGCTTTTGCGACGCCTTCATTCAGACGAGGAAAATGCAGAACTGGTCGGCATCTCGAAAGCGATTGGCATTCCCAGGCACATCCTCGTTGCCTTCAATGTTCTATTGGACCTTTTGCTGGGATGTACGAGCGGCGGGGTACGAACGCTGGATCCAGGATCTAGTGGTAAAACGACACGGATGCTTCATTTTCGGACTCTCGACTGGGGCATGCCTGAATTGAGAAATATCATCGTCGAACTCGACTTTATCCGTACAGCCGGAGGTCCTGTTGTTGCGACAACAGTTGGCTATCTTGGGTACATTGGGGCTTTGACAGGAGTACGGAAAGGCATGAGTTTGAGTTTGAACTTCAGACCGCATCACTCCAGGGAGACTCTTCGGCAACGACTGTCTTACAGATACCACCAGTTGATGGTGGTTCTTGGGAAGAGACAGTCGATATCAAGCAGTCTGAGAGAAATCCTACTGGGCGATTCTACGATACCAGGGAAACAGTCCGACGAGGCACAGGAGACGGACAATATCAGCGCCGATATGCAGAACCAATATCTACAGCAAGTCCTCACAAAACTCTCGACATCTAGCTCAACCGCCGCATATCTCATCCTCTGCCAACCAGACCGCGTTGTCGTCATCGAGAAAGACCATCGCAGCGCATCGATCCGTGAATCCGACACATTCCTCACCGCCTACAACCACGACCTCAAAGACGAAGAGAACCCCGCACATCTCCAACAGGCGGCCGCCGAACTCGCAGAAGGCGACGATGCAATGGGCATGGCAGACCTGTTAGCCTATTCAGTTGAAAGAAAGCAGGAATTGGATAAGTTATGGAGTAAATGTGTTCGGGCTTGTAGAAGAAGGTACAAGCTGCGGAGTGATGTTGTGACGAGGGAGGATGTGGTTAAGTTTTTGCAGAATGATATCATTCGGAATGAGGAGTCGCATTACGCTGTCATCATGGATCCGAAGGAGGGGAAGGTTATGTGGCGGAGGGCGTATGAGTATGTCAGCGAGAGTGAGAGTTCGGAGGCGATTTAACGTTTTCAAGGCCACAGCTGATTATGGGCGCCCAGCGATTTTGGCAAGGCAACTTGGAATGGTACTATTTGACAATGATTTGACACTCCATTTTTTAGCTAGTTGGGCTTCTAGACACATTGCGATCTAGACACTTAGACCAAGAAAATCTCTTCAGCGACAATGTCACGGATATCTTCATGCGACCCTGAATACAGGGCTGAGTCTTACATGAATGTGAACAAGTGAGCGTAAGCCGCATTGAAGCAGTAAGCCAATAGGACAAAGGTTTAAACGAACAGGCCAATCACATAGAGAAGTTGAACAGGGTCAGCATATGGAGACCAATTGAACCATCCAATCATTTCAAAGCCATCCGGAGTAATATACAACATCATGATCTACAATGGACATCTTGGCAAACTCCGAATGCAACTGCATATTACTTTATGTTCTAAAGGGACACGGCTCGGATACACAGGGGAGAATCTGATGTCAGCGGGCTGTATGAGTCCAGTCTATTGCATATAACTTCCTATTCTGTTTAGAGTAGGACCACGAATGGAATAAGTTGCGAGGAGAGACGCAAAAGGCTGGTATCTCACTGGATACAGGGTGGCTACTGACACGACCGTATGGTCGATATTGGAGGTGGCAGCAATGCTGGGGCTCACCGCAGGACGTAGCACTCAGCGGAAAACATTACCCAGTACGTATCGGCTTCTTCGGTACCCTTCAGCTGGCGCAACTGCCGGCCGTAGATCACATCCGGTAGCTTTGACCTATGCCTAACTGGAACTTTAGGATATACCTACTTCGCAACACTATTTGGCCATTCTGTTTGGGTACTTCAGACCTATGCAAATTGAGAACGCGTTCGTATCACTGCGTTTACGAGACGAACATGCGGATACCATAGCCTCGCGAATATGTGGAGTTATGTAGCAATGATCCTTCTTGAAAGTATACATAACGTTTACTAATCGCTGGGCTAGATAATCACCACTCTGTCAGCCTAACAGGAAGGTAATTTCATGGTCTGTGCAGTGTTGACAAAAGGGTGCATCGCTTGGGCTCGATACTTCTAACTTTAGCATTATGGGAAGATGATTCGCCAACGGCAAGCTGCCAGACCCACGATAGGCATCTTCTGACATGGAGGCATGGGTAACTGCCGCGGGGGCTGAGCCTCAGCCCTATCATAGCTCAGCTAGGTACGATGTACACGCCCCAGGTACTTGATGATGATCGACAGAGACTGTAGAGAGAAATGAGGAAATCTTTCTCCGGGTGATCATATCCACGACGCCGCATGAGAAGGAATGAACTTTATACGAGGGACGAGATGGGAGCCCTTTATGGGAATCGCCGAGAACGTGATGCTCAACACGAGTTGACAAGGGAGTTGAGCGAAGATAAAAGGGTCACGTCGCCCGGTTCAAAAGTCCTTTATCACCATCTCCTCCCCATCCAATCAACAACAACGTGAATATCACAACCACCTTCCTCAAAATGAAGACATCTACCATCCTCACTGCTCTCGGCAGCATCCTCGCCTTTAACACCCAAGCCGTCAACGCGGGATGCTACTCCGGCGGCGACCCCTGGCCCAACAAGGATCAAGCAGCCCAGTTCGTCTGGGACGCCTGCTACGGTTCTCAGGGCATGTTCTCTGGACAGTTCAGGCCCGGGCAGACCAAGTCCATGTGTCCCCGAAGCGGCCAGGTTGGGCTTGTCTTTGAAGTCCAGAACCAGTGGGACCAGACTCTTGATCTTAACAACGACGACTGCTACACGCGTCTCAAGAACGAGATCTACGGCTGTGACCGTGGTGGAGAGTCTACTGTTTCTAAGTGGCGTTTCCGGTGAGTTTGCTTGAGTGTAGAGGTCTAATGAGTTTAGGAGCTAACGATTTGGCAGTGCTGATCCCGGTAACTGTTAAATGTTTAAGGATATTGATGTTGAGGACCCCGAATAGGAGGAAGTGGAGAGTGGGAGCACGGGGGACCGAGGTGGAGGATTTCATTTCTATGTCACTCATTTCGCAAGATATCTTTACGTCTGTTGCTATA